ATGTATGCTACAAGTTAAATTAAAGTGTTTGTTCTCTACCAATTAAGCCAGCCTTTTCCACTGAAGAATGGGCCTGGTCTGAGCAGTAGCAGATAAGGTGCCCCAGCAGCTCAGAAGACTGCAGTTCAGGATTCAAACTCGCCAGCTCCATGAGAGCTCGGGTTCTTGCAGCCAGAAGACTGACCAGGGTTGCTTCGCTTGCTGTAGTCTATTGAAAATTTGGCTTTAAGTAAAATAATTCGTATATTTTGCAGCGATGAATTATATATCTACGAGTTTCTAATTGATAATTGCATGTTTTATAGTTACACGAACGTAAACTCATACTTTTAATTCAAATAAGTAACAAATTGATTTGTTAATGGTCCTTTGACAATAACACAAAAATTTATAATTAATTCTTACCTGTATAACTCCCCCTCCAGGGCTGTCATTCTTTTCATTAAGGAAGCACTCCGGTAGACCCAACAATTTCCCCATCCAGTTCATTGCTATTGTCTCCAGTTCTGTTCCAGCAGGTGATGAGGCCTGGTTACAATAATTATAGGTGTCTTGATAAGGTGAAAGATATACAGTAGTGATTTTTTTATTATGAATATTATAAGCTATATTTTTGTTTACAAAAATTAGTAGAATAAGAAATACTTATCAGTTTATAGTAGGTTCTAAATATAACAAATGTTCAAGCCAATCTAAACTAAATATGTATATGTAAATAGAATTAAAAATATGGAAATAAAAATAAATATACGTACCCAAGTAAAGCAAAGTACATTGAGGGTGCTGGACAGCATTTCTCCCATGATGGAAGGATATGACGTCAGCGCAGGAAAATATGCGTGCATGTGTGGACTTTGCCAATGTACAATCTAAGTGATGAAATTCACTATTAATAATAGTCAAAGCAAACCAAAATTAAAAAAATCTGGTAGTGACACAAATTTATTAAAATCTCAATATTTTTTTGTTGATTTTGTTGTATAAGACTTGAATTCCCTGCGCCTGTTTATATATCTATATATATAAAATTGTTATGTTGGTTTGTGTACGATTCAAAAACTCAAAAAGTTATGCACCGATAGAGAAATTTTAGAATGATATATAATCCGCATCAAGGATTGTTTTTATCAATTTTTTTTTGTTTTTTTTAATTTTTTTTTCCACAAGTATTGCAAAATTAAACTTATATGAAATGTATTCTTTGTTTTGTTTCTCATTTCTCAACCATTCAATCACAATGTGCCACAGCGAAGCGTGGCAGGGTACAGCTAGTAATATATATATATATAATATTTGAATTTTAACGTCATTTGATGATAAAAAAAGTGGAATGACGTTTTTGATTAGAGGAATGTCCTTACCCCAGGCATAATATGCTCCTGGACATCCTTGAAAATATCGTCCCAATTTTCAGGCTGCTGTGGTGCCTCTGTCGGCAGACGTTTGTGTAGATACCCAGGCTGCACACCAGGATAGACCCGGTGGTCTCTTATATTCTCTAAGTAGTCGGCCATGAAGTCTACCAGCTCCTTGGCTGGCACATTTGAGAAATAGATAAATACAACACCAATAACATAAAAAGATTGTTATATGTTATTCGCAGAAGAGGAACAGGTTTGTATAATTTTATCGTGTCTTGGGAATTCGAATATTAGCCATATTTCTTTATATGGAAATTTAGCGCAGTTGAACGGAAGTTATGTGTATAACATCAGATTTGCAACTCTTGAAAATACAATAACATTTGCTCTAAGTTAGCCCAATTGTAGCTTAGCAGGGAGCTTTATTTTTTAATTAAGAGAATAGTCTGCACCAGTATACATCTATAACTTCAAATGGCGATAGCAATACCGGCGATCTCTAGTTATCTCAATATCCGTATGTATGGTGGATATCGCTATTGCTATTGAGAGTACCTGCTCGTAGTATCGACGAATACAGTTCTAGTTGAAACTTATTTCCATGGACTACATTTTATTTATTTATTAGTAATGTTACAGCTAACACATTTCCATATTATAAAACTAAACACTTATACAAAGCCAAAACAGATTACATTGATAAACAAAATATATGAAACAGAAAACATTTAAAGTACATTAATAGGCAAAAAACAGAAAAGTGAATTTAAACCTTAAACAAATGACAATGAATACTTAATATTTAAAAAAAAACTAAATCGTTACTCTTAAACAAAGTCAAAGTCAAATATTTCCTCACATCCGTATAACATCTCGATTAACAATCAACCCTTTTGATAAAATTACCATACCAAGAACAATTGGTTTTAATGAAGTTGGAATAAATTAATCAGCTCTATTCCGCTTAATGAAAAAACTGTAACAGCATCTGGTGCAGAGGACTGATGTGAATGCAAGCGGAGATTTTGTGGACAAAAAGAGAGATTGTAGTTAAGAACAATCTCGCAATGTACATTCTTAGGTAACTTTGAAAGGATTTCGCCAGCGTTTTGGATGAAGGCAAAGGTTTTGGAAGTCTGTAAATCTATTCATACAGGCCACGACGTTATGAATAATTAAGAAACATAAAATACATTCTAAAACTCCGCCATTTTGTTTGACAATTGGTTGTTTAAATTTTTAGATTCGTTAAAACTAAGTTTATTGGTAAAAAAATATATTTATGGAATCTTTCGTTTCGATTATGGACGTACTGTACTGAACGTATGGATACTGAAAAGCATGACAACCTCCGCTTGCAGTCATTTATTTGGCAATCATGGATTATAGTAAACAGGAAATATAAACTTAAATTTTCTATTACAAAAATAAAATATGAAATACACCTGTTTACACCTGGCAACACTAACGGTGCGGCTGACCAACCTTAAACTTACTTATACATATACTTTAAAATTACGTAATATTGATATAAAAAACTCATAATTGCAATTTATATCAGCAAAATAATTACAGGTAATTTCGTCTATTTTTAAGGCAACCTACCGCTAGTCCATTACATGGAGTGTGAAATATTCATTTAAAATTCATGATCTTCATGAAAAAATCGGATCTTAGATCATATATATGTACTACATATATATAGTCCATGTATACGTATAATTCTTAAGAATTCAGCATTCAACCAATGGTATGCGTAAATTATGCGTATAATTTAATAATACACTTACCAAGATTATTCTTGGTCAATGTCTTTATAATTCTATATCAATAATTGGTGCCTCAGAAGGCGAAGGTTTATTTTATTCCATTGGTAATTAAATATAGTTTTAGTTAGATCAACTTTACTTCGGTATAATGTATAATTAGAGAATTATAGTGAGTTTTTCTGATAAAATAAGTTTTATTTAAACTATCGATTATAAGTTAATGATACAACATAGCATAATCCCGACGAAGCCGGCAATGGTTATATATAAAAATCGGATAAACGTATTGACAAATAAACTCGGATTCAATAAAGTCACAGTTGATCCAGGATCACATTTATAGGTCCATACGTTTAGGCTTATTGCATTGAGAACACGTTATCAATGTTTATTGGTAGTATAGTCATCAATTATTTGACTTGTAGTCTTGTATAGCTGTTAGCAAAATGTCTGATTGTATCAGCATGCTGAAATTTTGCAACAATACGTATAGTCCAAGTAAATAACTATTTACTTGGACTATAATAATACTATAATAAGCAACTGCTTATTTCACATTTAACAGTGGGATTTTTAGGTCCCCTCTATTCTTTGTGCAATTAACTTTTGCTCTTACGCTGAAGGAACATATTCTTATGTGTCCTTGAAAGTCGGGAGTCGGTATTATAGATTCAAATCAAAAGTTTATAGTGCTATATACTAAATTCTGGCTCCGACACTATCGACATCTTTATATTATATGTTCGCAGAGTTCACGATAGCGATATTGTGTATGTTATGTATTTAATATTATATTATATGTAATTTTATTTTTACGAAATTATCGTATTGGTTTATAATATAAGGATAGTGTACGTATTTTTTCTGAATAAATTAATAAATCTTACCTTTCACTCTAAACTCCTTGTGATCCATAATGGTGTCTGAAAAGAAAATAAGGACATTAGGAAAAATTCACCACGTTTTTAAAAAAGTTGCGAGACTGTATTACATTAAATGCAGTGACTGTGACAGGCTCACAATTTTATATTAATAAAGTAATATCCAATAGGTTTTAACGAATTCCTGATGTAAAATTGCAAGTTAGTAAATAAGCGCCATATGCTGAAAGAAAGATGAAAGTGGAAATAATCAGGCAGTGCTCCAGTGCTTAGGCCTCAGGGTGCCTGATGGTGACGTTAGAGGCGACATCGTTCGCCGTTACTATTCGTATTTCGTACCCTCAACGAAAACTAACCTCTCGAAAAGACAACGCATGACACAATCAAGGGAAATAATGAACTGCATAGAATTAACAGTCTTTTTTAATTGTCCGTTTAGTGAATTGACAAAATGTCTGCTTCATGTCATTTCCTATGCCGTCTTTTTGAAAATATTTTTAATCTAGTTGTGTTGTTTTTTTCTTTCACGAGTATGTATGTATTGTTTTGTATGCAAATAAATGATTTATGACGATTGTCCATGACTGAGATACCTATAGAAACTTTGAGCCTTCACCTGCTGAGGGTTTCTTGAATATAATTAGAGTAGGGATATTATTTAGTATAGAAGTTGTGTAATTTATTTATATATAGGATTAAGTTTACTTCTATTTTGCAAGAAATAAAAGGCTTTTTGTTATGACGATTGTACTTTTCAATAAAAGGGAAAAACGTATGGTTACTTTGACTTTTGTTTTATTCAAAATGCCTACTTGGTTTATACGATTTTGTAGATTTTCAGTGGCAATGGTTCTTCATGACATACTAATTTGTCAGTTGATCAATCGATACGTGGCTTCTATGGCTTCGTTGTCAGTACGCATTAGTTACGCAAGTTGAGGTTACCAAATTTTTATACAAAATAGGTCGTTTATAAAACTTATTGTATCATGACCATAGACCACATGGTCTCAAAAGAGACAAAGCAAATCCTCTGGTATAAATGAAACCTTTTAAATTAGCAAACATATAATCATCATAAAACCGTTGAAAGATTTATTTATTATAATCATAATAATTGATTTAATAATTAAGCCTTTTTTATTTCCATATCCTTAAGTTCCATTACAAATGTTATTAGTATAAAGTAAGTAAATGTTAGTAGCCTGTGGATATGATCGCCCTTTCTAGATGCCATCTTTGCCAATAGTCTGCTTGTCTTGTCCTGCCATTTCTATCAAGTCGTCCGCCTACCTTCATTTTGGCGAGCCTACCCTTTTTCCCAGGTGGTCACATAATATCATTTACATATTCGTTGCTTAAAACAAATCATATATTCAAGATCGGCTCAATCGAGTTTAAAAACAGCATTTGAAAATATCAGGATACTTAGCCTAGCTGATTCCATACCATTTTAATGTTGTACATGTCACGATCGAAGAAAATCTATATTTAATAAAAAGAATAAAAACTCAGGCTTTTTTCCTTAACTTCCCTTTGTTTCCGAACTCAATTAAAAATATATAGTCGTCAAATGAATATAAATTATAATCCAAAAGACTTTTTTAAATACCGTTCATAAATTAAAAAGTATTTGAAATATATAACAATAAAATCAAATTTTTATCTCGTTAGGAAATAACTTGTTGACTTAAAATGAACTAAAGGGGATCACACAGAACTTAACTTTTATTTATTTCACAAACGAATAGGCTCTATTGAGACGATACATCACAATCCGTCAGTGTATTTACTTTTCATTCGGTTTTCTAAAGACCACTCAGTATTGTGTTAGTATCTTTTTAAGTGGCGTTTTATTAACACTTACAAAGTGCACAAATTAAGTGTGATTTTTACACATATTAAAAATACTGTATATTAACATTTACATCATGATTATCAGTTAAGGTATTTGCAGGCGTGTTAATGTGAAACCATATATTTTTTATATGGAACGGAAAACCCACTAAACTACAACTTAATTCACCAACTTGGCTATTTATTCAATTTATTGAGAATTTTTTCTCTTGTAGATGTAGGTCACATTTATTAAGATAAAAATAGCTGTGACAAAGTTAAAACTAAAACTAGAGAACCTTTTCGTAACTAAAAAAGCTTTAAAATTAAATATTAAGGCCGGTAAATATATTTCAGAACAATGCAGTTCTCCCTAAAGAAAACATAATATCATGGAGTTATTCATATGATGACTGCTGATTCGAAGTCTTGCGTTATTAAAATACTTCAAAAAGAGCTTTTCATGCTGTACTTGCAATAAAATTAACATCTCATTGCATATTTTATATTAAGGATCTTGTTATGATAGTCATTGTCAATATATATTTTGTTTATTTATATTATGCAGGGAAAATGGAAGGAAAGACATTAAGAGACGCAGCAAAATCCCATCGACCGACCAAATACTAGGAAACCTAGGCATCAGCTTCAAAGATGGAAGCAGCGGTTCTGTTATCTACCACAACGGGGTAGGGAGCATCATGACGTTCAGCAGTGAGCAAGCGATCTTGCAAATACTTAGTAAAAGCGGCGATGTCAAACAGATGGTGCCCATGAGACAGAAAGCGAAGGAGGTGTAATTAGATAGAAAAATGCAGAGGGTAGGAAATACTTGTAGCTGAACTTGAGGAAGCTGATGGGCGCTCAAAAGAATGCATTTTTAACTTAAGAAGAATTTTGATTACCTTAGAAGCATAAAAGGATTTCAGATAATATACTTCTAGGGAAATACGTTTTAGTGTTAAACGTTTATATAGTCTATATACGAAATGTCTACGAGATAGTACCTATAGCCAATTCACGATTTTAAGTATGCAATGATTTATTTACTTAAGACTTTAACCCAGAATCGTTTGTTAGGACATAAGCGATGTAAGAAGTATTTAAATTAACTCATTAAAGTTGTCATAGAAAAAAAAGGTTGTCGAGAGAAAAAAGGTTGCATAGCACAAATACAAATTCTGCGTTTTGGTGATAATGTATATCAATTAATTAATTCTGGTTTCAAAACCTTGTTTAAAAATAACACGAGGTGTTTAAGGAACTTAAAACACTAATAACGAATTTTATAATCTATTGTATGCCAATAAGTGACTCCGTGTGTAGCAGTCATTTTTACAGTTAAAATACATATAACAGTTAAATGTTACTATTATACATTTGGTTAACTTTTTTTCTTTAACTAATCACATCACTATTTGACCGTATTGATTAACACACGTTAAATTAATAGGATTAATCACAAGGTCCTAGGTTCGATTCCTGGCAAAGTTTCGATTCCACTGATTTATAACTTTTCACGATTTTTCTGGTGAAAGAAATTGTAGTTAATGGATATGTTGATTGATGATTTTAATCATCTACTTAGAGTTTTAGGAAATTTTCAGTTTACATATTGTTATAACAGTCATGACAGAGTTTTAGAAATATAGATTTAATAGTTTTAACCAACATCAAAATAAAATTGCTAATTTACTTATTAAAGCGACCTTTTAATATTTAAAAATGGTTTACAATAAAGTATTAGAAAATTAATTTTGTTCCTAAGAATACATCTGTATAGTGTATGCTTATTCAACCTCTACTTACTGAATTCACAAATTAAAATCGTAGCATCTTTAATTTTGCTTTAAAAAAGTTTTATCTGAAATACCCGAGTCCTAGATAAGTTTTTGCAAATTGAAACTAGCACTTCACAACATTTAAAGATTTCTACAATGTATGTTTAAATAATTATTATAATTCTGGAATTTATTTAAAATAATGATTTGAAAACAATATTTAATTAATTTAACAATTACTCACTTAAGCACAGTAGATCGAACACACTATTTAAATTCAAATTTAAAAATAGAATTTTACAATATTGCGTCTGTATCTGACCACCGGTAGCAGAGAGTATGGCTTATATAGGGGTGACTTCGCGACTATTGTGTCGACTTGTTGACAGATCAGTTGAGGAATGGTTATGCTAAGCGCGGTAGCGACTACAGCAAACATAAGAGATCAAGCGTTTCTGGCATTTCAACTCTCTTATGATGTGAAGAAAATAAACGTTGCGACGAAAATTTGTCCAAATTTTGAGAAGTTGTAAATTACTTGAGTTTCTGTGCAGCGTAGCCAGCCAGTCTCAATAAAACTGAGTTGACCTGGAGATAGTAAAAAGATAATTTTGAGATGTTACAATAACACATTTGAAACTCTACTGTTCTCTTTGATGACACTCTCATTCTTAAACGCCAATCAAAAGTATTCAAGTTTCAAGACGAAATTGTGACTTAAATACGTATTAGAATATGGACATCAGATCTCAGCCAGTCTCGAAATATTTCTCCAAGTCTAAGTCTCCATTACTTTGTCAGCCATCAGTCACGTGAAGCGCGTCTTGTCCTGAACCACATCCACGAGCTGTTCTGCAGCTGCAATACCCGTCCACTTCCTAACGTTGCCATAATTTTTTCATTTAAAGACAAACATATGGAATGGGCCATGGGAAAGAAGAGGGTGCCTTAAGAAAAATGATAGTAGAAGTAGAAGCGTTAGCAGGAAGAGTATGGAGAAAAAAAAGATGGATAGAGAGATATTTGGAAAAAGTTGGAGGAGGCCTTTGAAATTAGGATGATAAGAAAAAATATGTATATACATTTTATTATAACAAATATAAACTGTATATTCTAATTTGTAAAGATTGGAAATATACCAGATTAATTGTTATAATTATATCACTATATATCTAAATACAATTTGATTTTCTATTTTTGTTTTTCGGTGCATGAGGTGAAAAAATCGCTCCGCTCATGTATAGATTGGAAATCACCCGAGGAGAAGCGAAATGTATGCAATAAGTAGTTTTTAATAGATTTTCCGGGTTTTAACTATGATCGTTATCTATGTTTAATATTTTTATTGATTTGTTGACATCTGACAACTAAATGGTTTTATTGCCTCTATGTTATGAGGGAGGACTTAACTGCATTGGTAAAAAGGAGCCTAGACAGTCATGAGCTCTAATTAAAAATATATTTTTACATTGTTCTGCCCATTCGTTCGTTGGCCACGTACGCGGATATGATGTGCGCAAATGTGTACAACATACAAGCTTATACGCCGATGGGATAGATGTCTAATACATATCCCAGAGAAGGCGGAGAACAGCATTGCGTGCTCATCTAAGGCATGAAGATGAGATGATTGCAGACACATACAAACACCACTGTCTTCTTAGGGCGTCCAAAGAATGTTTTTCTTTCAATAACCACAACTGCTTTTTTAGATAGTCGATTTTCAATTGTTTTCACCAATTACTGGTGAAATCAGTTTAAAATAACATTGATTTTTATACAAAAGGGCAGGAGGCTCATTTGGTGTTAAGTAATACCGCCGCCTATGGATTCTCTCAATGCCAGAGGGCATGCGCGAGTGCGTTGTCGGCCTTATAAGAATTGATACGCTCTTTTCTTGAAGGACCCTAAGTCGAATTGGTTCAGAAAAATTCAGTGAGTGAATTCTTACGATATTCTGAAAATATGTTTTTTAATAATTATTCTAGGTTAGATAGGATACGAGGTAATTGGGTAAGAAAGATCTGTGGTAGAAAACTACCCCCCATGTGCTAATGGATTTATATCCACAGGCAGATACAAAGAATAGCCTCGTTGCACGCTTGAAAAGCAATTCGTTGATAAAATGTGGAAATTATCCTCGTAACAAAAATTTTCATGTGTTGAAAGGATAAGCGTTAGGGCATATGGTCCTGGACCGTATGTAAACGTATTTTCATTATAAAACTTGGGCCTATATCAGAAAAAGCCTTTTGAAAATTCCGGTATTATTGCACAACTGCGTAAAATGACGTAATTATAATTAGATATTAATATTGTATTTGCGAACTTAATAAACGTCAATTCCGGAAAGATAAAAATCTTTAACCAATTTAATCGAAACTATGATATTTATTTTAATCATATTTTTGTCATAAACATATTTTATTAGTTCCGTTGGTAACGGGTTAATTGTAAACAAATTTAAACTTATTTTAGTTTTACTATATTAGTAACTTTGTTAAATGTAAATTATATGGCTCTATATATATTTGATTTTTAAGGTAAACACAAATTTTATGAAGAATACTTTTACATAATTTTGTATATCTATATGATATAAAGTTATGGTGGAAGTAACTTTTCAGTTCTTTCTATTTTAAAATAACAACAATTCATAACAATAATTAATTTGAATCACCAAAAAATCACAATATGATCATGTAATATTTTAGCGGTATTTAAGCCAGATTTTGCCGCGCACCACCACTACGTGGAACCAGCACCCACTGAAGTATTTCCGAACTAATTTGACATTGGATCCTTCAAGAAAAGACCGTAACATACTTAAAAGGCCGGCAAGGAACTCGCGAGCCCTCTGGTAATGAGAGTGTCCATGGATTATCACTTAACACAGGTAATCCTTTCCCTTTGGCTTCGTAAAAAAAGGTAAAATCAGTCATTTAAATATTAACACAGTGTTTTTACCGTGCAGTAAATTTAAATGAAAAATATAAGATCAATTCATGCTTCTAGTAAAATGAAATAAAATCGTGTAAAGCATATGATGTTCAAAGTTTTCACCAGAGCTTAGAAGAATCTCTCACATCTTCAAGCCAAAAATAGATGGGATTTTTGGCGTTTTATATAGTTGTGCAACACTAATTATTACACATTATGGTTTTATTTGTACTTAATTATGAATATGATACAAATTATCTTTCAATGCCATCTATAACTAATAACTGGGACTATTAATTTTATATAATTATCTTCAAAGTTCATACTAAATTACTTGTTTACTTAATAAATTAATTGTAAAAGTGCGGCCAGTCTGAACGTGGAATTATTTAAAGGGAATATGAATGAATATAGATCGGGCTGGAAAGGACCAAGGGGAAGAAGGAGAAGAGGGTGCCCGAAAAAAAGGTGGATAGAAGAAATAGAAGCGTTAGCAGGAAGGGAATGGATAACGATGATGGATGGATAGAGATACTTGGAAAAAGCTGAGGCCTTTACCCGTGAAGAGGTTCCAATCGACGGTACAGAAGGAAGTTAAGAAATTAGGATAATAAGAAAAAATATTTATGTACATTTTATTATAACAAATATAAACTGTATATTCTAAATTGTAAAGATTGGAAATAAACGGGCTTAAATATTAATTATTATTATTATAATAACAGATTGAGCTTGTCATAATTTCATCATCTAGTGTTTAAAATCCATCTTTGGACGTTTGCCTCCTCCATTCTCCTCTTACTCAACCGGTATTGCGCCTTTTGCATCTATTTGTAGCCTGAATGCACTTTGGGATGTCGTAGTGGGCCAGGCGGTCTTTTTCTCTGCCGAGGTCTCTATTCAAGGAGCCTACGAGTCCATCGGGTCTTGTCTATGTCCGCTATATGGCCTGCCCACTTCAGGTCACGATATTAGTTACTACATCGTTTACACCCGTTTTTTCCCGAATGCCTTTATTTGTAATACGGTTGCAAAGGGAGATGTCCAGCATTCCTCTCTCCATGATTCGCTGGATGCAT